CAACAGAGTGGGAACCTGTCTCTAAAAAACAAACAACAACAACAACAAAAAAAAAAAAAAAAGAAGAAAGAAAGAAAGAAAGAAAAAAGTTAAAAAAAAATCACAGCCAGTCACTCAAAATCTCACTGCCTATAGGATCAAGTCCTAATTCTTGCCATGGCCTCGCAGCCCTCACTGCTGAGCCATGCTAGCCTCAAAGCCTCCTGACAGCCTGCTTTATCTGCTGTTCTCCCTTCTGACCACACCTGTGCCTGACTGGCTCTGGGTCTCCACTCTATGCTGTTCCCTATGTCAGAAACACTTTTCCTCAGCAGGGAACAGTGGTTCATGCCTGTAATCCCAGAACTTTGGGAAGCTCAGGCAGGTGGATCACATGAGGCCAGGAGTTGAAGACCAGCCTGGCCACCATGGTGAAACCCCATCTCTACCAAAAATGCAAAACATAGCCAGGCATGGCAGTACATGCCTGTAATCCCAGCTACTGGGGAGGCTGACACAGGAGAATTGCTTGAACCCAGGAGGGTGGAGGTTTCGGTGAGCCAAGATTCTGCCACTGCACTCCAGCCTGAGTGGGTGAGTGAGACTCTGTCTCAAGAAGAAGGAGGAGGAGGAGGAGGAGGAGGAGGAAGAAGAGGAGGGGAAATCGGAGAGGGAGAAGGGGAGGAGGAGGGGAGGAAGAGGAGGGGGAAGAGGAAGAGGGGGAAGAGGAAGAGAGGGAGGAGGAGGAGGAACAGTCTTCCTTTCCCTCTGCCTTCTTCATCTGGACAACTATTTGTCCAGGACATCCACTAAACAATGCATGACCTTAGACTGGTTGTTTTACTTCTTCTCTTCTTTTTTTCATAGAGATGGGGTCTCACTATGTTGCCCAAGGTGTCATTTCTTTTTATTTATTTATTTATTTATTTACTTATTTATTTTTATTTTGAGTCAAAGTCTCACTCTCAGGTGACCTCAGGTCACTGCAACCTCCACCTCCTGAGTTCAAGCGATTCTCCTGCCTCAGCCTCCCAAGTAGCCGGAATTGCAGGCATGCCCATGTCCGGTTAATTTTAGTATTTTTAGTAGACATGGAGTTTCACTATGTTGACCGAGTGTTCTCAAACTCCTGATCTCAGGTGATCCACCCACCTTGGCCTCTCAAAGTACTGGGATCACAGACATAAGCCACGGCGCCAGACCCATTTCCTTCTAGATCATACATTCCATAAGAGCAGGGACCACGGATCTTTCAGAGCATAACCCCAACACCTAGGAGATTCATTGGTACATAGCAGATGCTCAGGAAATGTTGGTGGAATAAATGAATCAATACATTGACAGTATAGCCACATTTCCAACGCTTATGATATCATCTTGAGGAGGGATATTGGCAGGGACATGATGCTTGGCCTCATCTCAAATGCCACCTCTGCATGGACTCTGGCCTGCCCCTCAGTGCCATACCTTTGCTGACCACTGCTGGTAGATATTGTTGTCATCAATCTGCCAATTCACATTCAAGGCTCTCTTAGGGGCACTGGACATGGAGATCCTGGACGCCCTCGAAGGGAACATCTCTGCAGAAGCGGGTCAGAGCTTCAAGGGCCACCACCGTGGTCTGGGTGTTGGAATGGGGTGGGGAGGTGGAGGGGTGGGGGCGCGGTGTACGTGGATCAGCACCACAGACAGCACCCGAGACGCCATTGGGCAGTGCATCAGGACCAAGGACAGCCCCACCCCCCTAACTTCCCCCTTGGGCTGGGCGCGTCAGCACCTTGGCTAGCGACCCCGGCCCTCACCTCCCGGAGGTCCCCATCACCTGGGTAGACCCTAAGCCTCCTCCAAGCTCCCGCTTCTCTAGTAGCCACTTGGCGATGGGGTGCGTCTCATTGTGCCGGCCAAGCTCCAGCTTCTGCATGAGCGCATAGGCCGTGGCCTCAACGGTGTACAGCGAGGGGCCCAGCTTCTGCTCATCCACTGGCCAGTGGGTTTTGTCTAGAAATAGGGACACCTGGCTTGTCACCAAGAGCTGGGCCTGCCCACCTTAACCTCCTCTCTCCTTGTGCCATCTGGCCCAGTTTTCTCATCTGTCATCTTATTGATCACCTACTTTATTTTTATTTTTGTAGGGGGATGGGGGTGGTTCTCATTATGTTGTACAGGCTGGTTTCAAACTCCTGGCCTCAAGTCATTCTCTCACTTTGACCTCTCAAAGTGTTGGGATTACAGGCATGAGCCACCGTGCCCAGCCCCGATCACCTACTTTGTGTGAAGCTCTTTGCTGTGAAAACGTGGACATTCAATTTTCAGAACGACCCTAGGAGACGGGACTCTATTTACCAATGGGAAAATTGAGTTAAAAAAAAAAAAAAGCCGGGTGTGGTGGCTCACGCCTGTAATCCTAGCACTGTGGGAGGCCGAGGCGGGTGGATCACAAGGTCAAGAGATTGAGACCATCCTGGTCAACATGGTGAAACCCCGTCTCTACTAAAAACACAAAAAATTAGCTGGGCATGGTGGCATGTGCCTGTAATCCCAGCTACTCAGGAGGCTGAGGCAGGAGAATTGCTTGAACCCAGGAGGTGGAGGTTGCGGTGAGCCGAGATCGCGCCATTGCACTCCAGCCTGGGTAACAAGAGCGAAACTCCGTCTCAAAAAAAAAAAAAAAAAAAAGTTCCTGGCTGGGCGTGGTGACTCATGCTTATAATCCCAGAACTCTGGGAGGCCGAGGCAGGCGGATCACCTGAAGTTAGGAGTTCCAGACCAGCCTGGTCAACATGGTGAAACCCCGTCTCTACTAAAAATACAAAAAAATTAGTTGGGCGTGGTGGCAGGCACCTATAATCCCAGCTACTCAGGAGGTTGAGGCAGGAGAATCACTTGAACCCGGGAGGTGGAGGTTGTAGTGAGCCAAGATCATGCCATTGCACTCCAGCCTGGATGACAAGAGTATTAAAAAAAAAAAAAAAAAAAAAAGGTAAAAGTTCCTTTAGGTCCCTTCAGTTCCACTGCAAGCAAATTGACCTAGCTCCACTTTCCTTGACTTGTAGAATGTAGCAGATGGGATATGGACCCTTGGGGATGAGGTAGAATCAACCAGGGGAAGGTTTTATAACCTCTCCATCCTGCTGGGCTCGGTGGCTCACACCTGTAATCTCAGCACTTCGGGAGGCTGAGGCAGGCAGATCATAGAGTCAGGAGTTTGAGACCACCCTGGCCAATATGGTGAAACCCATCTCTACCAAAAATACAAAAGTTAGGGGGGCGTGGTGGTGGGTGCCTGTAGTCCCAGTTACTCAGGAGGCTGAGGCAAGAGAATTGCTTGAACCCAGGAGGTGGAGGTTGCAGTGAGCCAAAATCGTGCCATTGCACGCTAGCCTGGGTGACAGAGCAAGAGACTCTGTCTCAAACAAACAAACAAACACCCCTCCCCGTCCTTGACAACACCAAGCACTCTTTCCACCTCAGGGTGTTTGCTTGTGCTGTTCCCTTTGCTTGGAATGTCCATGGTCTTTTATGAAGGTGTACCTTTTTTTTTTTTTTTTTTTTGAGACGGAGTTTCGCTCTTGTTACCCAGGCTGGAGTGCAATGGCGCGATCACGGCTCACCGCAACCTCCGCCTCCTGGTCTCAGGCAATTCTCCTGCCCTAGCCTCCTAAGTAGCTGGGATTACAGGCACGCGCCACCATGCCCAGCTAGTTTTATTGTATTTTTAGTAGAGACGGGGTTTCACCAAGTTGACCAGGATGGTCTCGATCTTTCGACCTTGTGATCCACCCGCCTCGGCCTCCCAAAGTGCTGGGATTACAGGCTTGAGCCACCGCGCCCGGTATGAAGGTGTACCTTTAAAAAAAAGGTTTTTTTGAGACAATCTTGCTCTGTCGCTGAGGCTGGAGTAGAGTGGTGAGATCTCAGCTCACTGTAAACTCTACCTCCCAAATTCAAGTGATTCTTCTGCTTCAGCCTTCTGAGTAGTTGGGATTACAGGCAGGGATTACACCACTATGCCTGGCTAATTTTTGTACTTTTAGTAGAGATGAAGCTTCCATGTTGGTCAGGCTGGTCTCGAACTCCTGAGCTTGTGAGCCACCCGCCTCGGCCTCCCAAAGTGCAGGGATTACAGGCATGAGCCACCGTGCCTGGCCTTTTTAATTTTTATATAGAGACAGAGTCTTGCTCTGTTGCCCAGGCTTGAGTGCAGTGGGGTGATCACAGCTCACCACAGCCTTGACCTTCTGGACTCAAGTGATCCTCCTGCCTTAGCCTCCCTAGTAGCTGGGACTACAGGTGTATACCACCACAGCCAGCTAATCACAAACTTTTTTTTTTTAGAGATGGGGTCTCACTACATTGCCCAGTTTGTTCACAAACTCTTGACCTCAAGCAATCCTCCTGTCTCAGCCTCCCAAGTGGCTGGGATTACAGACATGAGCCACCACACCTAGCAGGTATGTCTTTCTGTCTTTCACCTTGGCCCCCCAATCTGTACTCCCCTTCTGTTGCTATCTCTCCTCTCCACCTTGTGTGTTATCATCTCCATGCTTGTCTCAGTTTGGAATTATTATTATTATTATTATTGTCATCATTATTTTGAGACAGAGTCTCCTGCTGTCATCCAGGTTGGAGTGCAGTGGTGCAATCTCAGCTCACTGCAACCTCTGCCTCTCGGGTTCAAGTGATTCTCCTGCCTCAGCCTCCCAAATAGCTGGGATTACAGGCAACCGCCATCATGCCTGGCTAATTTTTATGTTTTTAGTAGAGACGGGGTTTCACCATGTTGACCAGGCTGGTCTCAAAGTCCTGACCTCAGGTGATCCTCCTGCCTTGTCCTCCCAAAGTTCTGGGATTACAAGCATTAGCCACTGCTCCTGGATTCAGTTTGGAATTATATAGTGACCTGCCTGTCTTCTGATTGTCTCTCCCATGGACTGCAGGACCGTTGAGGGCGGGGACCTTATCAGTGTTGCTTACCTTGGTCTCACAGGGTGTGAGCTCAAGAGTTGACACACAGTGGATGCTCAGGAAACACTAAGTGATGAGTGACACCTTGCTGGGTTTGAGATCCCCCCTCCCCACTCCACGACAGGTTGACTAAGAAGTGCCCACACCCACCATGGCTGGCAAAGCTGTCCAGGCGGTCGTTAGCCCGGGGGCTGTTGGCGGGGGCCAGTGTGTAGGATACTGTGACTGTGGCAAATGTTGTCTCAATGTCGGGGAGTTTTCTCTCCAGGAAGCCACGGGCTCGCTCGATGCTGGTCTTCAAATTCTAGAGGGTCAGAGGGAGGAGGTCAGAGGGAGATCACCAGAGGAAAGAAGTCTGGGAGTTAGAGGGACCCAGAGGGACATGAGAGTGGAAGAGCTTTCCAGGTGCTGGGGCTGGAGGACCCCACAGATCCTGCCCTCCTCTCCAGGATCCTACCGGTATCTCCTGGCTGCACAACTCCTTTCCCTCATCCAGGGCTATCACGACAAGAGCCGTGAGGGATATGTTCGCCTTGGAGCCTTGGTAGCCACCCTGTGGATGATGCAGCGTTCCCCATGTGATCCCCTCAGCATCTTGGAGATGCCTTCCTCAGCCTCTCCTGTCTGACCCTGAGAAGCTTCCAGGTACTCAGCTCTGGGCTGGATAATGCTGGAGATGGGATGAAGACAGAGAGGAGAGTTTTCCCTCCCTGGGGTCTGCCCTACTAACAAAAGCCATCAGCCAGGCGTGGTGGCTCACATCTGCAATCCCAGCACTTCGGGAGGCTGCAGCAGTAGGATCACCTGAGGTCAGGAGTTTGAGACCAGCCTGTCCCTACAAAAATAAAAAAATAGTTGGTCATGATGGTGGGTGCCTGTAAGCCCAGTTGCTGGGGAGGCTGAGGCAGAATTGCTTGAACCCAGGTGGTAGAAGTTGCAGTGAGCCGAGATCGTGCCATTGCACTCTAGCCTGGATGACAGAGCAAGACTCCATCTTGGAAACAAAAAGAAAATAAAACGAAAGAAAGGTTAGCAGGCAGAGAAGCCAGCACCAGAAACGGTCATGCAGAGGGCAGAAAAGTGAGGGAAAAAAAGATAGACAGGGGCCAGGAATGGTGGCTCAGGCCTGTAATGCCAGCACTTTGGGAGGATTGCTTGAGGCCAGGAGTTTGAGACCAGCCTGACCAATATGGTGAAGCCCTGTCTCTGCTAAAAATACAAACATTAACCAGGCATGGTGGTACATGCCTGTAGTTCCAGCTACTTGGAAGGCTGAGGTAGGAGAATCACTTGAACCCTGGAGGTGGAGGTTGCAGTGAGCCGAGATCACACCACTACATTCCAGCCTGGGTAACAGAGCAAGACTCCATCTCAATAAACAAATAAAAATAATTTAAGCATAAAATAAAATACACACTAACAGAGATTTTGGCAGGAAGTTGAGGGCTCAGGGGCTTCACCTTGGCCTGACGATTCCTGAAATTGTGCAACATGGCTTGGATCTGCATCTGCTCATTCCTGATCACAGAGTGGGGCAACTTAAGGTCCACAAAGAAGGATTTCATAACTGTCAGCTCAAAGGGGTCTGAGACACAGAGACCTGCAGCCAGGAGAGCACACTGGGTTTAAGCAGAGGCTGGGTTGGGCAGAGGGGCTGGGTAGGGTCTCCATGCTCACATTCCCTTAGCACTGGGCTTGCTGGGGATCACCTTGACCAGCCTTGAGGCTGACCACCACAAACTGCCACATGGAGATGGAATCCGGCATGTTCATGGAGATGGGGTAGTGGGAGACGCTGCTGGGAGAGAGGGGACATCACTGAGTTTGTGCTGCATGGAGTCTCTGGGTTGGGGGTTACCATGCAGGGGTTATGGTCACTATTGAGAATCATCAGGTCATCTCATTAGTGACAGCATCACTAGAAGGTCATCATCTTTTTAGGGAACCCGTGAAGGTATTTTCCCCATTGTGGGACTGTCCTGAGGCTCAATGTCTGTCACTGCTGGGGTCACTGTCCCTGATCAGCATCCACTGATGATTGCAAGGACCTGGGACCAAATTCTGGCATGGGGGCTGATGTCCTACCCCGAGTCACTCTTTGGCCGAGCAAACTTCCTCCAGAGCCAACTCTCGGGGAACAGGGTCTGTACAGGCATGTTATCCTCAAAGAGATCATCCAAGTCCTCTTCTTCATCCGCTGCAGGGAGTAGGTGTGAGGCGGAGTCTCCTTCATGTTTCTTCCATGTTCCACCAGAATCCTTGTGGGGTCCTCTTCTCCAATCCCCCGTGGCCCATATCACCCTTTAGCCTGTCCTGTGTCACTGTATATCCCTCCACGAAACTCCCACCCTGCATCTCCTGCCACGGCCCCCTCACTTGTCCCCAGAAGCAACTGATCCTCTTGAGCCTCCCACGTCAGGGTCTCAGACAGATGGCAGCAGTCCAGGAAGGCAGCCACACAGGCTGGACCGTGGCAGACATGCCAGGTTCTCTCCTCACAGGACAGCCCCACCAGGCTCTCCTGGAGCCCAGCCTTACAGCACTGTTGCTCCAGCTCTGTGTTAAATTTGTTCACTGCGGGTTAGAGGGAAAGAGGAGGGATTGGGCAGGATCTAAGGAGCTGGGACCTATTCACCCTGATGCCATGCACACCTGCGGCTATTTAGCAATAACTCTGTGGCAGGTGCCGTATCTAGTGCCTTACCCGTCTTCTTTCCGAAGCCTCATATTGAACTCACATGGTGAGCTTCGGACAAGGAAGCTGAGCCACAGAGAGGTGAGTTCATTTGCCTAAAGTCAAGGCTTCCAAGTGGCTGAGCTGAGACCAGAATCCATACTGCAATTTTTTGTTGTTGTTGTTTTCCTTTTTTGAGATGAAGTCTTGCGGCCAGGCGTGGTGGCTCATGCCTGTAATCCTAACACTTTGGGAGGCTGAGGTGGGTGGATCACCTGAGGTCAGGAGTTCAAAACCAGCCTGGCCATCATAGTGAAACCCCATCTGTAAAAAAAAAAAAGAGAGAGAGAGAGAGAGATGAAGTCTTACTCTGGAGTGCAGTGGTGCAATCTCGGATCACTACAACCTCTGCCTCTCAGGTTCAAGCAATTCTCATGCCTAAGCTTCCCATGTAGCTGGGATTACAGGTGCTCACCACCACACCCCGCTCATTTTTGTATTTTTAGTAGAGAAAGCGTTTCATCATGTTGTCCAGGCTGGTCTTGAACTCCTGACCTCAAGTGATCCACCTACCTTGGCCTCCCAAAGTGCTGGGTTTACAGAAGTGAGCCACCATGCCAGCCTCAGATTCTGTGCCTCTAACACCACCCAGTGCTGCCTCCCATCTTCCCCTGACTCCAGGCTCAAAGCCCCTACTTCGGGTCCACACTCCAGTCTTCAGGATGGTAGTTTAGATATTGTCCAATAACATTCAAGACCTCTTTCTCCTTTTGTCTACATTCCTTCCTGTACCACAGAGGCTAGACATCTGAAAACTACATTCCCTATACTCCCTCGCTGCTGGGGTTCTGAATGGGATTAGATGCAGCCACTGAGATGCTCTCATGAGAGATCTGGGAGATAGAAGAGAAGCAGAAACCATTTTTCCTGCAGCAGTGGTAGCTGATGGGTGGGCTCCAGTCTGTGTGTGTTTTTGTAATGGGCATGATTCCATGTTTCAGTATCAACCTACCAGCCTTATGAGAGATATTGGCAGCAGTTTCTTGATATTTCATGGATCGCAAGACTGAAGTGGGGTTATCTTTAGTCCCAGCAAGCAGCCTTCCAACGTCCACCCCAATAGCCCATCTAATGATTCTGTAAGCACCAAACTCCCCCCATTGGATCCCTCTCGCTAGAAACACCTAGAGTGGTTTGGGTGTCCTGTTGTAAGCCCTTATGGATACAGTAGGTTGGGGGGATGGAGGGAGACATGCAGCTTTGACACTGACCTGCATTCCTCTTTGGCTCCATCCTCTTCAGGGAGCGGTGATGGCGGCTGGGAGGAAGGTCCTGGGGGCAGGCCCAGTCTGGGGATCAGGGGGAATGATGATAGAACAATTGCCAAGATCATTATCAACATTCTTGATTATGTTTACTGGATGTTTGCTGTATGTCCAGTGCTTTATATGTATCACTTAATTTCACCTGATAGCCTCCTATATTCAAGACTTGTTGCTTAAAAGCTGGGAGATTTTCAGCAAGTCACTTAACCTCTCTGGGTGCTAATTTCCCCAGTGACATAAAATGGGCATAATCATAGTTCTATCAATGAGATCATGCATATACAAGTACTTAGCACTGAGTCTGGCATGTAATGAATAAGAACTGTTATTAATATTACTATTTATAGCTGAGAGAAAACACTCTTAGTTGTCTCCAAATCCATTATCATCCCTCATCCGTGGCAACTGAGCCTTCATCTTGTGTAGATCACTCAGAAAAAGACTACATTTCCCAGCCTCTTTTGCACCTAGGTGGGGCCATGTGACTGAATTCTGTCCAGTGAGATGTGGAAGTGTCCTTCCCTTCCCACGTCCCTTCACCCTGCTGCCTGGCATGGATGGACTCCTATAAGGAGTCCGAGTCCCAGGATGACCTCTCTAGTGTTACTGAATGAGAAATAAACTACCTGTTTAACCTACTGTTAGTTTGTATCTTTGATACACATGGCTAACCCTGTCTTAACCAACACACTGTGAGTTAATTCTATTATTATCTCTATTTTAGGGACAAAGAAATCAAGACTCAGAGAGAAATGTGACTGGCCCATGGTAAGTGACTGGATCTGGATGACAGCCCATATCTGTTTGACACTAAACCCCACTAGTCAGCACTGCCCCCATTCCTGCCCTCCTGCTGTCTACCCCTCCAAGCCTATATCTGAGCTTGCCAGGCTATCCATTCCTGTGTTGATTTTCAGGTCCAATCCAGCATCCTTGAACACAGCAAATCTGTCTTTCCCACTTCCTGCTGTGCAGTCAATGTCATGTTCTTCCACCACATCCCAGACCTAGAGGACAAGAGAGGAACCTGGCTCTGAGACCTATATGACTCCTCCATGAAAGGAGCAGTGGTGTACTGGAATTGCAGGCTCAAATAATAATTCCCACGCTATCTCCCATTTTTTGAGCTCTTATCACCTTTCAGTCCTTAGACTCTGCACTATCTCCTTGAATCCTTACACTGATGCTATCCTCTTTTTGGCTGAAGCAGCTGAGGCTCCAGCTAGAATATCCTGGCGATATCTTGGCCCAAAGACCACATGCTCTTACCTTCCTCTGAGTGAGCCTGTGTTTGCTGTTCAAGACATAGACAGCCTTGTCCACAGCCACCAGCCCCACTGTGGCTTCTGCATCCCCTGTCACCTTCATTCCACTAGGCTGTTGGGCTCCAAAGGCTGGAATAATCAATCATTCTTCAAGCCAATGTTCAGCTGAACCAAGAAAAACAGAGATGTCAGGAAAAGGTAATCATAGACCACACAAGGCCACTTTCAAGTTTATGTCCCCTGCTGCTCTGATGGAGCATCTGGGAACCCCACTAGGCTAATCCCAACTCTTTATTTATTTACTAGCATCATCGCCATACTTCGTTTTGAGCTCTTTAGGCCAGATATTCTCCCTCTCTCCCCTGGCTTCCAGTTTGGGAATGCCCAAACTTGTACAGACTCTTTCTGGGGCTTTATGATGCTGATGCACCAACTATAAAGAGTTTCTCTTACCATCCCCATGCATCTGTCATTCGCCTCAATCCATACGGAACCAGCTCAGGGTTCTGGCTTACTCCTCTGGGAAGTAAATAAAAGGCCAGAATGCAGAAGGAGGGCAGCATCTCTGAAGTCAAATCAATAATGGCTGACGTGTAGACACTCCCCTGGGCTTTTAGCTGATGTTTAGCCCTCACGATCTGGCCCTTACTCAGGACCTTGGAGACAAGGTGAGACCAAGGATGAGAAGGGTAGGGCAGCTTCAGTCTTTCCCTGAAGCTGTCCCAGCCCACAGGGGAGGCCCATCGTCTCTTTGCTTCAGCCTCTTGATCTGAACCCACTCAAGATTTTCCCATCTTCACATATGTTTTCATAGTTTCTCCAACCCAGCAAGTCAAGGTTTTTCCAAGGAAAGAATTCCTTGACTCAGATCCTGGTCCTGGTCCCTCAGCAGCATGGGGAAGTGAGCAATCCTGTTCTTGGTTTCAGGGTTCCGACGCCTTGTGTTGAGGCTCAGCTGGATGCTGCTGCCAACCTCTGTGTCCAGTGTGTTTGCTTCGATGTGTAGGAAGTTCCCTGATGAAGCTTGAGTCAAGCAAGGCCAAGCTGTCATCCTGGCTGAAGCCTGCTCTTCTGGCCGAAGAGATTCTTCAGTTTTCACCTGGGGAAGGTGAGGTACAAGTAAACCCCAACCCTTCCAACTCACACAGCTCCAACCCCATCCTCCTTGCCTTGTCAAGTTGATACCTGGACGGGAAGCTTGTCCAGATTGACATCTGTGTTGATGGTCAAAGTGGCCAAAGCCTCAGTTGAGGTGTACATTTTCTGGTTTGGGGAGTGGACAAGGACTCTGGAAGCCGGGGATCCATCAGGATTTGAGACGAAGACCTGGGGTGGAATCTGGGGTGAGGTGAAGAAAAAGCCCGGGGTGGCCTGGTGTGAGAGGTGAGACTGGAATGTGGTCTGAGTAGGATTGCTTTGTACAATTACGTAAGCAATGTACTAAACACCACCAGGGGCCCCATTCATATTCGAGTTTTTATGAATGGCACCCCCTAGAACTTTGCAGTGTACAACCACGTGGTCGCCCTGGGTGTTTGGGAGCTGATGGTGAGTGGAAAGACAGAGTGGAGAGGGAAGGAGGACACACAGAGAGCCTGCAGGAAATGTGGAGTAGGACTGATGCCAAAGAATATTCCTGACTCTCCTAATGCCCATTCAAATTAACATATGCGGAAAGAACATGCTTTCCTGTGCAAATGCAGCCTCTTAGATAAACCCTCAAACACCACCTTCCAGCCTGATTGTGGCCTCTAATAGAGGTGATGGAGGTAATTTCTCCATAGAGAAATTCTGGAGCCATCACTGTGCTTCGGGGGTACCTGGGTTAAGGCTTGGGGGGACTCTGGGATTTGTCTGGGGAACATGATGCATTCACCTTTCGGATGAGTTGG